AGAGAGAGAGAGAGATTGATAGATAGTTCATATCGACGCTCGTATGAAATTCGAACGAATAGTTTTTCGAATGGAGAGGACTGGATATAATATCGAGATAAAGTGTTTTATACAAAATGATGAAATTTCTGAGGGAGGAGAGAGGATCGAAGAGTGGGGGGATAGGCTTGTCCAATTGTGACATTAGTCTCGAATCATTTTCATCCAATGATATTTGATTGATAGAGACACTACGTGCTACGGATAACACTTTGTTAAAACTTGAAAAAAAAATTTAATTTTTCGCGTTGCGGATATAATGGAGAATCTTTTTTTTTGAATTTTGCTGGTCGCTCAAACGTGTTGATATTTTTTTTTCTTTTTTTCGTTGCAATTTTGTAACGCGATTAGCATTGAATTCATCGTACGATGTGTTGTATGGAATACTAATACATTCGTGCGAGGTTTGAAGAATGAAAGGATTGATTCTAGAACAAACGAGAAAATATTGATATTCAAAAATCTCGATTGTCTATTATATGGGACGATAATGGAATAAAGCTGTTAAAATGCAAATTTATAATTTAACAAATAAATAAATAATAATATTTTCGTGTGACAAATTTTGTAATTGGCCTTTTTAAACATAAAGAATATATATATAATTCCAAAGCAATTCGAAAGCATTGAATTAGAAAGTAGAGGTGGAATTAATTTATTTATTTATATAATGCATTTATATAATGTTCGTTATTTCTGCATCGTAATCAATCAATTTCTCGGAACATTAGATAAGTTAACTTTGGAAGGATGAAGATTGTAGATCCATGATGAATTGTGCAAATTGATTATTGGATCCAATATTTACTAATAGAGATGATGATATATGTATTTTTATATTCTTTTTAAAAAAGCTTCAAAGTAGCTATGATTATCACTATCTATCGACGATAAATAGATTAAATTATTTTTTTTATTTTATCAGATTAAAAAGATTGAATTTCTGGTGTTGAATAACGTCGATGTAGAGGCGAAAATAGGATAGAAAAAGATATTTCTGAATTGGATTCGAAGGAAATGGAAAAAGATGATACGTGATCAAGTTCAATCACAGAGATTAATCGTGACACGTTGAATCGTATCAATTTTTTGTTTCTCTCTTACCGAGATGTTTGTCGTTCTTTTAAATTGAACGGCAAATATTTATCTTGAAGATGCAAGATAAAAGATTTTATTAAGTGCGCACTTTATGCAAAAGTGTAAGTAAATAAAGTGATGATAGTACAAAGAGAATAATAATGATGCGAGCGTATAGTGGGGAGTTAAATTAAATTGTTTGTGTTGTAGGATGACCGGCGATTTTATACACGTGAGAATTTTTCCTGCAAATTTCTTGGAAAATTCTCTTGCAAAATTCTATCTCTTAAATGCCCCAATAATAATTTTGTTTTTGTTGCTTGATTGGTTCTATTTAGGGATTGTTAAAATTTGTGATAGTTAAAATTTTTTTTTTTTAATATGTCTTCTTTTATAACAAGAAGTTTTTATTTTTAATGTTTAGATTTGAATACTGAAAGTAATTGTTTGATAAATTCAGGGCCAAGATAGTATATAGAAATATATAGAAATCAAGATAGTATATATTGTCGGTAGTTCTATGCTAATAGATATACTATAAAAGGAAACTCTTGTAGTTTACGGTAACTGTTAATGGGAACATCTTTTAGAAAATATTATTTCTAATTAATTAATTAAGACGTACATAAAATTTAAAAAAAAAAGAATCGTAGAAAGAATATAATTGCGCACAAAATATTATTGACAATTGTATTTGTAATCTATTGTATTTGATATCTGTAAAATTCTTTGTGTGATAGCTACTATCTGTTGATCATTCTATAATTAAAAATCATTAGATAATATTCATGTGTAAAATATCTAAAATGGTATGTTATTATTATTATTATTATTATTATTTTTTTTTTCATATCGAATAACGTTTTATACTTTTCAATTGTAAGCAGAGAAATATTTTTTTCCATATAAAGTGTTAAAAATATAAAATATAATTATTCAAATTAATTTTAATTATTTGTGCAATTAATTTTGCTTGATTTTTTAGATCAATATCAAAATAGAGAAGCAACAAGTATAATATATGCATCATCATTATCGTAGGTAGAAGATTATTCATTTTATTACGTATACGTTACTTCATCATTTCCTCTACTTTTTAACCTTGAAAATATTTTGCAAAATAAGCAATTTATATCAACGAATCAACAAAATTTCAATATATCAAGATACGACGGAAATTATTCTACAAATAATTCTAAAAATACATAATTCGCGATATATGAACAAAGAAAAGATAATCGAGAATGATTGATAACGCTTGAAAAAAAAAAAGAATTACTTAAAAAAATAGGTTCAATAACGATTATACGTATCTCTATTTAAGCATTTGATATTTTAATTTATTTTAATTAATTGTAATTTAAACAAGCAAAACATGCTCTTTGAAAGATTGCTTTTATTACACAACTATCATAATTATCATAATTTAAACACGAAGTATGCTCGATGCGAGAAGAAGTATGCTCTTTCTGTGCCCAAGAAACGAACTTTGAACCGTTGTGTCATTCTCTCGTGTTCGACAATGCGGAGAGAAGGCGTAAGTATACACGTACTTCCTCGTACATCGAAATCTTTCCATCCATAACATTCTCAAATCTAATTGACAATTCGAATAATTAAATAAGTGCATAATTTAACGATTATTCGTATTAAATGTTTCAATGCTCGATGAAATAACGAAAAATACAATCATCATCGATCGCATAACCTCTAATCATACATCGATGCAACTTTTCGCAATTAACTAACTCGATTATTTAATACATCTATATAATTTAGTTAATTATCTAATTCAATGAATATTGTTAGATAATCATCTCGTCTTGAGTACGAGTGGAAAAAGGAGGAAAAGTTAAAAGAGGATCGACGTTAAGATTGCACGAAATCAACCTAACCTCAAAATCGCTCGAAACAATCATCATCATGGATGTTTTCGCGATATTGCTGATCGTTCTCGCGACTCTAGGATTGTACCATCTTCTGAAATCGGAAAATCCTTTCAAGGAGCACGGTTTACCTTACAAAAGTTATCTTCCAATTCTGGGTAGTACGTGGGAATCGATATTAAAGCGGAAACCATTCGCCGTGGTGATTCAAGAGATTTACAATCTAGCTCCATCCGCGAGATACGTCGGATTCTATAACAGAATGACGCCGGTCGTGATGATTCGGGACCCGGAATTGATCAAGGCCATCGCGGTGAAGAATTTCGACGTGTTCAGGAACCACAGAACCGTGAACAACGTCCAAACAGACGACATCCTGCTATCTGGTAATTTGTTGTTGCTGCGCGACAACAGGTGGAAAGAGGTTAGGTCTCTCAACACTCCGGCCTTCAGCTCGAGCAAGATAAGATCCATGCACCGTTCCATGTCCGAGATCGCTGTAAACGTTGCGAAATATCTATCGACTCTTCCATCGGGGCAAAATGTGGTGGAGATGAAAGACGTGTTCGCCAGATACGCGAACGACGTGTTCGCCATTTGCGCGTTCGGCATCACCGTGGATTCTCTATCGGACAGGGAGAATAAATTCTACGAGCTGGGAAGGGAGGCTCTGGACATTCACAGCACGCCAATTCTAAAGTTGATCTTGATCTTCGCGTTTCCGAAATTGGCAAGAAGATTGGGCGTGACTACTCTGGTGAGCAAGGAAGCGACCAATTTCTTCACCCAAGTGGTGTCTGAAAATATAAGGATGAGGGAAGAGGGAAGTGTAACGAGGTCGGATTTCGTTCAAGTAATGATGGACAGTGAGAGATGGAAAAGCAAGGAGTTGACAGTGGAGGATATCACTGCTCAAGCTTTCGCGTTCTTCTTTGGGGGATTCGAGACCACTTCCGGTTTATTATCGTTCGCCGCCCACGAGCTGGCAGCGAATCCAGAGATTCAGGCCAAAGTTCACGCCGAGATAGATCGTGTTCTAGTTTCCAGTAACGAGATCACGTTCGAACGAGTGAACGGTCTGGGATATCTCGACGCTGTGATCAACGAGACACTGAGAATGTATCCAATTATACCCATCACGGACCGAGAGTGTTCGAAACGGTTCGAGTTACCGCCTGCACTGCCCGATACGAAGCCTTACGTGCTAAAAGAGGGCTCTCATGTTTGCCTCCCGATCTACGCGATCCAACGCGATCCGAGGCATTTCGAGAAACCCGATTGCTTCGATCCGGATCGATTTCTGGGTAATAAGAAGAAGGGGAACGATGCTTTCAACGATGACGCTTACATACCTTTTGGCACGGGTCCAAGGAGTTGCATTGGCAATAGATTTTCCATGGTGGAAACCAAAGTCGCGTTGTTTCATATTCTTGCCAGATGTCGGTTGGAGGTCTGCTCGAAAACGACTATACCTATGGAGTTGAGGAAGAGAGGAGTGTTTCTCACGGCGAAAAATGGATTTTGGTTGAGAATCGTGCCCAGGCATCGAGTTATGTAATTATTTTATTATCGAACGAGGGTTACAGGAGATTTCCTGTGTGTTATACGGTGATTTTGAAGAATTCCAAGCTAAAATATTTTATTATATTTATCATCGGTTTTTCATCAATTTCTTTTTGTTTTGAACGATTGTATTGTGATCGATTACCCGAGTTACGGGAAATCTTGTTATTTGTAATATTAGTTTTCTGCTTTATCTTTCGATTTATACGCATAATTTAAATGATCTTGCAACGATCGAATGAAATGTGAATCGTGTCGATTTCATATTCATGATATGTGTCATCGAAAAATGTATTTGACTTGCGTAGTAAACAATGTGATTGCCGTAACATGATATTTACATAATGATATATTCAATTGTTAATTACGCTTTTACAATTCTTACAAATATGAATCGACGGTTATATAAATTAATTTAAAATAAATTGAAATTGTGAGACGAAGAAAGAAATATGGCGAAAGAAAAGATTTTGTATTTTTATATTCAAAATATAAAGACAGATTTAAATTGCGATGAAAGGTATGTTTAATCATTTAAAAGTAAAAATTGTTGTCAAAATGTAGACAAATTTAAATTGCAATAAAAAACTTTAATCATCTAAAGTTGTTGTCAAAATGCAGACTTTAAATCGTTTTTACTATTTTTGTTTGTTAAAAATCAAATATTATTCTTTTCCCTTTATAAAATTTTAATTCTGCGTTAATGGATAGCTTGAAAAAATTGTAGAATTATTTTCAAAAGAATTTTTCAAAGTTTCTATATAATTATAACAATGTTGTTACAAATATTTTACCATATTTGGAGAAATAACGAGCATCTTATTATTTCTTTCTTGTACACTCATCGATTTCAATCTTCAATTTTCTTGTTAAGATTATTGTTATCACGTAATGATAATATTTCTCTTTAGTATAACTTATCATTATTTTTTAAAATTCTATATAAGAGATATATTCACAACAATTTTCTTTAAAAAAAAGAAAGAAGGAAAATCAATCAAAATGAAAACATCAACGAATAAATATCAAGTAATAAGCAAAATCTATCCGATAAAATTTCTACTTTATTTAAGAATGATATTTTTTTCATTATTTCCATTTAAGGAAAAGATCATTTGAATATAAAGTCAGCATAAAAAGAAAATGCTTGCTTTCACAATGATTTGTTTATGACTAATTATGGATTTTAATTAAAATAATTATTTACTTTATTTACTTTATTATCAATATTTTATATTTTTTTAGATATCATTCATCGTTCTTAATTTCTGAGAAATAAAGATCTTATTTATCGAATGACGTAATTGAGTATTAAAAAAAAAAAAGAACAAAAGTACAGAACACTTACGCAAAGACAAAGATAAAATCTAACAAGGAAATTATCGATTAAAATTGAAACTAATAGATAACAATAAAAATTACTTCACTATCTAATTTTCTAATTTTAAAATAATTTTCTGTTTCATCTATTCAACACTTCGCATCGAAATAAGAAAGGATAGAAAAGAAAGGGAGAGGGGAAAAAGGATGGAAAACTCGAAGCTTTAATATTCAATATTTAACGAGAAGGAAATCATCGATAATAATCGAAATGATTATCGATCGAATCGAAAACTTTGAACTAGAAATAATAAAACAACAATAATTCTCAAGATAATATCTAATAATCTTAAGAATTGTTACGAGAGAAATTGTTAAAATTCTCGGAAACTCGATAAGATTGGCTTTTTTCTCTGTATATACGTACCGTTCACGTTTCCAGTATATAAATAGCGCGATGCCCTCATCATAACACACATTAGCGCGCCACAATTGCTACGTAGTAGAGTTTACATACATGGTCTCCATCGAACTTCGTCTTCAGTATCGTGTTATCCGTGGCGCGTGTTCGACGCGCAGCACAAGATCGTTCTTGTTATTAAGCGATTCTCTAAAATCGATATCAAATTAAAAAGATCAATACCAAAATTAAATAAAAAAAACTCATCACGAATTCGATAATGAAAACACTAGACTGTGAACATTGTGTTATGTAAATGAAAGATATAACTGGAAACCGGACCAAAATTATCGTACAAATATAAAAAAAAGAATACATCCATATATATATCAATTTCACAGAGTAACAATTGTATTAAACGATGCTCGATTCGTGGTCGATAACCGCGGCTATAGTCGCTGTCCTCGCGATAGCCTATTACCAATTGATCTGGAGGTACAAACATTTCGAAAGAATCGGCATTCCTTATTACACATCCGTGCCACTGTTGGGAAGTTTTTGGGAGGCGGTTATCCAACGGGATAATTTCGCCGACGTGTCGAGGAAAATCTACAACATGTATCCCGACGTGAAGTACCTGGGTATGTACGACACAATCACTCCGGTGCTGATGATCCGGGACACGGATCTGATCAAGACGATCTCCGTGAAGAACTTCGAACAATTCCCGGATCACAGATCGTTCCAGAACGAGGCGACCGACCCGTTGTTCGCCAAGAACTTGTTCGCCCTTCGTGGGGACAGATGGAGGGAGATACGAAACCTGTTGAGTCCAGCGTTCACATCGAGCAAGATGAAATCGATGTTCATACTGATGCGGGATTGCGCGAAAGATTACGGGGATTATTTCGCCTCTTTGACCGGGGAGGAGAGCACGATCGAGTTGAAGGACGCGTTCACGAGATACACGAACGACGTGATCGCGACTTGCGCGTTCGGCGTCGAGGTGAACTCGATGAAGGACAGGAAGAACAAGTTCTACGTTTACGGGAGGGAGGGAACCACTTTCGGATCGTGGGCGTCCATCAAGTTCTTCATCACGAGGATATTTCCCATGAGCGTGTGCACCCTGTTGAGGATCAGATTGATCAAGAAGGAGATATCCGATTTCTTCATCGATCTGGTGGCCGACACGATCAAGACAAGGGAGGAGAAGGGGATAGTACGGCCGGACATGATCCAACTGATGATGGAGGCCAGGGGAAAATTGAGCCCGGGAAGGGAGATGAGCATGATAGACATGTGCGCCCAGGCGTTCGTCTTCTTCTTCGGTGGTTTCGAGAGCACCTCAACGTTGATGTGCTTCGCCGCCTACGAGGTCGCCGTGAACGAGGATATACAGAGGAGGTTGCACAACGAGATCGACCAAGTTTTGGAGCAGGGGGGTGACGAGGTGACGTACGGGGCGATTAACGAGATGAAATTTCTCGACGCGATCATTTACGAGGCTCTTAGAATGTATCCGGTCGTGGTGGCCACGGACAGGGTTTGCATAAAACCGTTCGAATTGCCGCCCAACAGGCCGGGCGAGAAGCCTCACGTCATCAACGAGGGGGACAACGTGTGGTTCCCGATCTACGGGATTCAACGAGACCCCCAGTTTTATCCGGAACCGGATAAATTCGATCCGGACAGGTTCTTGAACGACACGAAACAGATGATCAATTCCGGCTTGTTCCTCACGTTCGGGATGGGGCCCAGGATGTGCATAGGCAACAGATTCGCCATGCTGGAGACGAAGGTTTTGCTGTTCCATTTGTTCGCGAGATGCACCCTCTCCCCGTGCTCCAAAACTACCATACCGATGAAACTGAACAAGAAAGGGTTCTCGATGACCGCAGAGAATGGATTCTGGTTCAAGATCGAGCCGAGAACCGCGAGGAAGGACGGGGTTGAGAAAATTTCGGTTCCAGGCACGACGATGCTTATCGATAAAATCCCTGACAGATATCCTGACAATTGAGTATTTCTTCTTCTTTTTTTTTTTTTTTTTGTTAATTCGTTCCTGTGTTAAAACAATTTCTTTCGAGTGTTTCGGTACGTATATTCTTTTCGTATTTCGATACGAGCATCTTAAGCGTCTTTTTTTTTTGAGAAAGTATTATCAATTCCTAAATTCAATCCTCTCTCGAGAATTTTGGACGGAACATAATCCGTATGTTTTGTATTTTTTTTAATTTTTTACTTTTTTTTAAGGAATCACAAGAATATCGGTTCATTTTGAGACGCCCGTCGAGTTTTTCTCGCACTTTTAGAATTACTATAGATGAATTTCGACAATCGGCGAGTGTCTATCGTAGGTATAATTTTCAGCCGATAATATCTCGACGATGAATAATTAATTTGCAATTGATTTTGAGATGAAATTTGACGAGTATGAAAGTATTGGAAGTAAGAAAGTAACGAATAAAATATTTATGAATTGCGTGAAAATTTTTGCGACCAACTGTACTTGCTGTAATGCTATTATATCGGTCAATTCTATGAAATGACATCATACCGTAGAATTTTAAAATAGCCTTCACTCCAGGCCTGATCAATTTCTTTGCCGCGAATATTCATTCTCTCCTACCATCGATAGATTATATAAAACAAAGAAATAGAAACTGCGCAGAACATGATCGAAATCAAACGGAGGAAGTTGTTTTTTTTTTCATCGTTCAACAAAAAAATTGATTAATCGGTTAATTAATCTATTATGATTTTCGGGTATGATCGGAAACATTCGAGCGCAATCGGCACCTGGAAATTTTCGGTATATTTCGGAAAAACTCGGACGAGATCGTTCAAGATTATCTCTCACATTAGATTATCTTTCACGAGGATATTTCCGATTCCGCCCGAATTCTTTCGATTCTACCCGAATTCTTCCGATTCTGCCCGAATTCTTCCGATTCTGCCCGAATTATAAAGTCAGATTGCTAATTTCTCATGCAACGTGCAATGTTTATTGCTGTTAGTATCGATTGTTATTGACGATTGGCGTCAAAATTAAATTTAATTAATTTTTTTTCAAACCTTGGATATTTAATTTGTATTTGTATTTGTATTTGTTCTCGCAATGCTTATTTTTAGTATTGCCACGGTACGTCATGTTGACGATTTTGAATTGTACAATTAAATTTGTTCGAATTTTCCACGAATCGTTCCGAATCTACGATTCAAAGACGATCACGTAGATTTCATAATATTATTCCCTTACAATGCTGCTGTAGTATTGTTGTAGTGTGTCATGTTGACGATTAACGTATAATCAAGTTTGATTAATATATAACGCGTAACGCATTATATATTTTATGATATAATATCGTATATGGAGTGTATCTATTATTGTTATAATTATGAATAAAAAAATTAATAAGATATCTTCGTTTGTGATTCGAAATTTTAACATTAAATTTCAATCTTTATGACCACTTCTGCTTCTCTTTTCTTCTTTTTTCGTAAGTAAACCAACTCCGTAATCAATTCTTACATAATCCATTATTACGATATTCCGTTATCGTTCTTAATATTCTAACTTGAGAAAATTTTTAATTTCAGGTTTCGAAAATGAAGAAAAATGAATCCTCTCTGCCTGGATCAGACAAATACAAAATTTCTTCACCGTGGACAGAAAAAGTTCTCTCAACCGGTCGTAAAGAGTCGGGGGAAAAAAAGAAAAAAAAAGGGGAGGGGGAATTCCACGCTTCTTAAAAATTCCCTGTTCGTTCGATCGCGCGAAATAAAAGGAATAATAGAAGAAAAATGGATCTTTGGCTCGTGACTAGTTGCCCGGTCGCATAATGGACGCGTGTTATGCGTCCATCTCAATTATCATCCGGACGAGCATCAGCGTTGTGTGCATGTCCGGCACGTAACAGGGTGTCGCCTCGCTATACGTACGTAACAGTCGTATAATATATTCCAGTACGTGATCGGCAAAGACGCGACACGACCTTGTGAATGTTGCTTTAATGAGCGAATGTAATGTAGAAGCTGGAGCGATTCGAGCTGGTTGATCGTTACTGAATAATATATAGAGGAATGAATCTGGATGACCCATTTTGAGATTCTTCTTGCTCGGAAAATTCAAGATGAACGAATTCGATGAATGCTGTGAATGATCGTGGAATTGATTTATTTTTATATATATGGAAATTGAGAATTTTGAATGTATATATATATGGCGAAAGAAATTTTTTTTTGTAAATATGTAAATTATGGATTAAGTAATTGTTTTCTTTCCTTTTTGTTTCATTGAATTTTGTAGTGCAGAAAATTAATTTGAAAAATTAGAAGAGCAGAACGTTTGTACGTGACCACTTTCGAGAATGTAAGAGTAGTGAGGCATCTAGTGGCGAGGGTACATAAAAATTGTACTTATTCAGGATATATTTCGAAATATAAAAGAACTTGATTATTATTACTATTATTTTTTTTTTTCTTTGAGATTAATTTATATAATATAATCGTTTACTTACTACTATTGTTTCAGTTATCTAACAAGTTTCAATTTAATACAATTGCAGGATCTATAATTTAAAATAATTTTAAATTTAAAACTATCATGGATGTCAATTGACATTGTTATGATGTTCATTTAGGATAGTTGTGGATCTTAGATTGAAATTACTACTACGAATCTTATTTTGAAACGATCATTCTATTCATGAAGATTCAAAGAGATATTCACAAAGATAATTTCACAACCTTCGAATGATTATTAAACAAAAAAATATATATATATATAAAATTTATCTTAAGAAATTTTCGATTAATTCCACGAAAAAAATAACAAATCTTGTTTAAACTAAATTAACGAGGATGACTATTGAAAAAACGTATCAATCGAAGTTGTGCAAACTTCAAGATTAAATAGAAAAAATATTGTTGACCTCGTTACGTAATTTGTTACAAATTCAACGATATACCGTTAAAATTAGTACCACACATTATTATTTCCTTCACCATTAACACTGAACAAAGTTAATAGCGAACAAGTTTGGTAAGCTAGGAGGGACAATACAACTTTATTATTTTCATAAATAATTATTATTCGACGAGAAACGATTTAACGGATTATCACGCGCGCAACTTTTTTTAGGGTGTTGTTCAAAGTCACCCTTTCCGATTCGAGACGATCTCTGGATGCCTTAGGAATATCTGGCAGGTTGACTCGATAAAAACTGCCCTCTCCCACTCTAATGTAATTCAGTTTGCCACGGTGAAGATGAGAGCTCGAGAAGCCGAGGTTAGCGATCGAAGCAACGCCATAGAGCATCGAGATCCATTTGGTAAGAATTAATGAACTGGAGGATCGTAAGGGTGGATTCGAGAGATGTATTGTGTTAGTAGGCACGATTCGATGGTTAAAAGGAAAAACAATCTTGTTTCCTTTTTTTTTCTTAATTTAGAATTTGATTTCACTTTTTATTTTTCTTTTTTTTTTAATTATTGTTGTCGTATTAATTTTTGAATGGTAAATGTTAAATTCTTTGCTATCTTCGTTTTATTGGTGAAGTTTTTTCTTTTGAACGTTTAATTACACATGACACGTGGTAATTTAATTTGAAAATAGAATTAAAAATATATATATTTGAAATTATAGCGATGAATATTTTTTAAAATTCTTTTGCACAAAAATCTGGAAGAAATTTTAAAGATCTGTATCGAGAAGAAATTAGAGGATAATTAGCAATTTAAAGAACGAGAATCAATTTTGTTTACATCGTTATATTTTTATTTGAGCATTTTAGCTAACGAAAATTTACACTGTTATTAATGGACTTTTATTATTTATATTATTTATTATGCAATTAAACAAAGTTGATCGTAATAATTCAGTGTATATAGTGTATCGTAGAATAAAACAATAGCAGTGGAATTTTAGCAATAACAAATTGCATGTGTTCAAATAATATATATATATATATATACATATGTACATGTAATATATTATCTGGAGAAATATCGTGTTGACACTTTTATCAGTGTACAAACGTATCGCCGTGATAACTATTGTTTATAGTAACAATTTACAATTTACTCTCGAGAGAGATTTTTTCTCAATTGCAAATATTTATTCGCAAGATAAAAATTAGCAATATTTGTGAGAATATATATTGGACGATCATTTATTAATTTATTCGTCCGAATAAAATATTTGTTGTATATATTGTACACTGAATAAAAAATGCGATGATAAAATACAACCATTTTTAAAAAGGTCTACTAGAAATACTTCGAAATAATACAAGGTAAAATTCTTTTCGATATTATTCATTTTTCACACTCTTTTTTTTTCAACAGGTTCAAAAAATTTCTTTTAATTATTAACAACTATCGTATTTATTGTTTCTTCTGATTTAAAAGTGTAATTTCGTTTCAAACTGTTTAAATACGTATAAATAATAACTTTTTTTTTTGTTCGTTTCATCGATAATGATGTTAATCGTAATGAATAATGGAAGAATGAATCGATGAATAATCCGTATGAATTACACAAGAGTTTTTTTTTTTCTTTTTTATTTCATCCATACAAAAATCAAGCACGGAGTAACAAAAAAAAAAGAAAAATTTATATTATATTTATATTTTTATATTTACATACGCTATATTATAATTATCATTACGATAATATCAGTACACAATTTCTATTTAAAAATTAAAACTCCCGATTCAAACAATTGAAAATCATTCTGTTTCAAATCCCTGTCTTACACGCACCGTTAATAACATCGTTGTTAACCAACCCATTACTTTGATCAGAGTGATAAGAATATTTTCTAGGCTCGATCCTCAACCAAAAACCAGTTTTCGCAGTCGCGTTGAACACACCTTTTTCGAATTCCAAAGGAATTCCTGTCCTCGATCCAGCCTTTACGTCGCAAACGGCGAGAATATGGCAGACCAGAACCTTCATCTCAATCAAGGCGAATCTATTCCCTATGCATATCCTGGGCCCGATACCGAATGGAAGATACGCTCCCGAGCTCATAATGCTTTTCCCATTGTCCAAAAATCTCTCCGGTTTGAATTTCTCGGGCTCGTCGTAGTACTTGGGATCGTGATGGATCGCCTTGACGGGGATCCATACGTTCATCCCCGGCTTGACGGTGAAAGGCACGTCATCGGGCAAAGCAGGGGGCAGCTCGAAACTCTTGACGCACATTCTGTCTATGAACACAGCGATCGGATGCAGCCTCAAAATTTCATTGATCACCGCGTCCAGGTACTTCATCTCTTGTATAATCTCGTACGACAATTGGCCGTTGTTACTTTCCAACGTCTCGTCGATCTCTTGCTGCAATCTCTTCTGGACCTCGGGATTCTCGACCATCATGTGCAGAAGCACGCACGCTTGCGCCGCGACCGTGTCGAAACCGCCGAAGAAGAAGCTGAACGCGTGATTGGCCATGTTCGACACGGTCAAAATCCTGCCGGATTCCTTCTTGTTCCTCGTATCCATCATCAATTGGATCAAATCGGAGTTGGTGGTTCCGTTGCGTTCCCTCTCCTCGACCGTTTTCACCACGAGATCGGTGAAAAATTTCTCTATGTGCCTCTCCAATACGTTGAGCTTGAACAACTTAGCCAACCAAGGCATATTTCTGTGCACCATTATCTTCAAATTCTTCTTCAACCCTATCAGAGTGGCGCCCACTTTACCGTACATGTAGAACACGTTCTTGGGCTCCTTTATCGAGTCCACGTTCACGCCGTATACGCAGCTCGCGATCACGTCGTTTGTGTATCTGGTGAGCAACGCCTTCATCTCCATTTCTCTCTCATTCTCGGGCAGTTTGGATAGGTGTTGGGCGAATCTCTTGGCGCACTCGGACATCCGTAGAAACATCATTTTTATCTTGCTCGAAGTAAAAGTGGGCGACAGCAAGGACCTGTGTTCCTTCCATTCCTCGCCGTCCATGATGAACAACATTTCACCGAGCATCGTATCGACGCTCTTGCAAAACATGGGGCGATGGTCGGGAAATTGGTCGAAATTCTTCATTGTGATGCTCTTGATCAGGTCCAGGTCGCGTATCAATATTATAGGCATCTTGAACTCGAACAGTCCTACATACTTTGCGTCAGGATGGATATTATATATCCTTTGAATCGTGTCGTGTATGTTCTCCTTTCCTCTGATCAACGGGCCCAAATTACCCACGATCGGGGACGGTGGGACGTGAAGTATACCGTGCTCTTGGAACAGATTGAAACTTTTCCTGACGAAGCAGCAATAATAGACGATAACCGTGATCGCGACGAGGAGCAGAGCCAACGATAGAAACTCCATGTTTCGATTCGACAAGCCGGGGACAAGGCCGTTCTATGTGGCCGTTTCTATATACGTGAGATTACGTCGACACGATGCTCGCTAGATTTGTTACCGCGAAAGACTGAGGATGCAGCTAGGCGAATAACGATATTTAACTGTAAGCAGTGACGTCTCAATGCCACGCATCTCCCTTCTATGATAATCGTTATGATACGATACGTTTTTATCAATTGACATAGTACCGTGTCATCGTGCAGAGTCAACATTGGGGAAAACTCTTTCGTTTTTCCCGTTAATCCATTGGGTAATAATTCAGGGTATTTAATTTTTGGAAAATATGCTTTTGGGAAACGTATTTTAATTCTTAAAATACTAATTTACTAATTCTTTAACTAATTCTTTAACTACTTCTTAAATTCTTAAAGATCGATTAATTTGACAGATCGGGTGGAGATAACATTTTATCGTGTATGATTTATCATAGTAAGTTATCGTGATCTACGTTTGGGTATTGTAAATTAAATTAATTTAGAATGTACAGAAAATTTATATTTAGAAATTTTCGAGTAATTCCACGAAAAAGAGCAAATATTTTTTAAATATATAAAATATAATAATATAATAAAATATAACAAATTAATGAGGATGACTATTGAAAAAACGTATCATTTGAAGTTATGCAAACTTTTCAAGATAAACAGAAAAAATATTGTTGACCTCGTTACGTTATTTGTTACAATCTCAACGATATACTGTTAAAATTAGCACCACACATTATTATTTCCTTCACCATCAACACTGAACAATGTTAACAGCGAACAAGTTCGATAAGGAACAATGCAACATTATAATTTTCATAAATAATTATTATTCGACGAGAAACGATTTAACGGATTATCACTCGCGCAATTTCTTTCAGGATGTTGTTCAAAGTCATCCTTTCCGATTCGAGACGATCCCTGGATGCCTTAGGAAATATCTGGCAGGTTGACTCGATAAAAACTGCCCTTTTTCACTCTAATGTAATTCAGTTTGCTACGGTGGAGACGAGAGCTCGAGGAGTGGAGGTTAGGGATCGAAGCAATGTCATAGAGATTGGACATTTTGTCAGAATTAATGAACTGGAGGATTCGAGAGGTGTATTGTGTTAGTAGCCGCGATTCGGTGGTTAAAAGGTAAAACAAATCATTTCTTCCTTTTCCTTTTTTTAATTTACAATTTGGTTTCACTTTTTATTATTATTTTTTTTTTTTTCATTATTGTTATGGTATTAATTTTTGAATGCTATATGGAAATCCTTTGCTATCTTCATTTTATTGGTAAAGTTTTTTCTTTTGAACGTTTAATTACAGATTATGCGTACATAGACGCAAAGTAATTTATTTTGAAAATGGAATTAAAGATATAGATATTTGAAAGCGATGAATATTTTTTAAAATTCTTTTGCACAAAAATCTGGAAAAAATTTTGAAGATCTGTATCGAGAAGAGATTAGAAGATAATTAGCGATTTAAAGAACGAGAATCAATTTTGTTTTTTGTTTTATCGTTTTATTTTTATTTGAGCATAGCTAATGAAAATATATAGCAGAGAGATTTTTCTCAACTGCAAATATTTATTCGCGAAATAAAAATTAACAATATTTGACAAATATATTGGAAGATCATTTATTAACTCTTTGTGTTCCAACAGTGATTCTCAAGCACCATTGGGTGTAATAATTCCAGATGTGATTCTCCGGCATTACTTGGATTGATACAGCAATTCGGACGACAATATTTATTTATGTCTGATTTTTTTAAAGTATCGCTTCATGATAGATTCCTAAGCTCTTTAATCTTATAATGTGTAGATTACTATTAAATAGTTAAATTTATCTGAAATAAGAGCAAATAAACCTCGGATCGAATTATTTTCGACGTTAGTCCGAGTTTGACATTCGTGGCGATAGAAATATTATTTTCAAAGTTTCTGAGTTTTGTAAGCGTGGAGTTGTAATGAAATTAGTTCAAGTGGAGATGATGATTTGATTTTTCGTTACTAAATAAGGAAATGATTTCTATTCATTAAGAAATTGAAGATAGAGAGAAAGAAAATTGTAATGAAAATTGAGATGCTGTAAGAGAAGGTGAAAAATAAGAATAATAGACTGTGAATGTGAGAACAAGTTATTGGGATATTAATTCGTAAGTAAATTTTTCGTTATTAAATAATGAAATTATTTCTATTGATTAAGAAATTGATAATAAAGAGAAGGAAAATAGCGATAAAATTAGAGATGTAGTATAAGAAGATGAAAAAAAAAAAAATAATAGACAATAAATGAGAGCACGTTATTGGAATTGTAAGGTTTGTAACGATATTTTATTGTGATATTTACCCTGACAAACCGAGGATGCTTATTAGTAATTATTTTATTATTAAAATATCACAACAATATAAATTTTTAATATTCAAAAAATTATCTTTCTTTATATGTAAAGATAGATAAAATATTAAAATATATAAGCTTTATATGTTAATTTGTGTGTGAAATCATTTTAAGTTAGCTGAAAATTTCATTGAATGGGTGCGGGAAATCGTCTGGAGTTGTTGGTTTGTCCAAGCTAAAAAGACCCAGAGTGCAAAGGGTTAATTTATTCGTCCGAACAAAATATTTTTTGTACATTGTACATGGAATAAAAAATGCGACGATAAAATATAATAATTTTCAAAAAGGTTTTCAAAGTCTTGGGAATAATATAAGGTAAAATTCTTTTTGATTTTATTCATTTTTCACAATCTTTTTTTTCAATGTGTTCAAAAACTTTTCTTTAATTATTAACAACTATCGTATTTATTGTTTCTTCTGAATTAAAAGTAAAATTTTGTTTCAAGCTCTTTAAATACGTACAAATAATAAAACTTTTTTTTTGTTCGTTTCATCGATAATGATGTTAATCGTAATGAATAATGGAAAAATGAATCGATGAATAATCCATATAAATTACACAAGAGTTTTTTTTTTCTGTTTTATTTCATCCGTACAAAAATCAAGCACACAGTAACAAAAAAAGAGAAAGCATATTATATTTATATTTTTATATTTACATATTATAATCATCATTACGATAATATCAGTATATAATTTCCATTTAAAATTAAAACTCCCGATTGAAAATCATTCTGTTTCAAATCACTGTTTTACACGCACCGTTAATAACATCGTTGTTAACCAATCCATTACTTTGACCAGAGTGATAAGAATATTTTCTGGGCTCGATCCTCAACCAAAAACCAGTTTTCGCAGTCGAGTTGAACACACCTTTTTCGAATTCCAATGGAATCCCTGTCCTCGATCCAGCCTTTACGTCGCAAACGGCGAGAATATGGCAGACTAGAACCTTCATCTCAATCAAGGCGAATCTATTCCCTATGCATATCCTGGGCCCGATACCGAATGGAAGATACGTTCCCGAGCTCATAATGCTTTTCCCATTGTCCAAAAATCTCTCCGGTTTGAATTTCTCGGGCTCGTCGTAGTACTTGGGATCGTGATGGATCGCCTTGACGGGGATCCACACGTTCATCCCCGGCTTGACGGTGAAAGGCACGTCATCGGGCAAAGCGGGGGGCAGCTCGAAACTCTTGACGCACATTCTGTCTATGAACACAACGACCGGATGCAGTCTCAAAATTTCGTTGATCACCGCGTCCAGGTACTTCATCTCTTGTATAACCTCATACGACAATTGGCCCTTGTTACTCTCCAACGTCTCGTCGATCTCTTGCTGCAATCTCTTCTGGACCTCGGGATTCTCGACCAGCATGTGCAGAAGCACGCACGCTTGCGCCGCGACCGTGTCGAAACCGCCAAAGAAGAAGCTGAACGCGTGATTGGCCATGTTCGACACGGTCAAAATCCTGCCGGATTCCTTCTTGTTCCTCGTATCCATCATCAATTGGATCAAATCGGAGTTGGTGGTTCCGTTGCGTTCCCTCTCCTCGACCGTTTTCACCACGAGATCGGTGAAAAATTTCTCTACGTGCCTCTCCAATATGTTGAGCTTGAGCAAATTCGCCAACCAAGGCATATTCCTGTGCACCATTAGCTTCAAATTCTTCTTCAACCCTACCACAGTGGCGCCCACTCTGCCGTACATGTAGAACACGTTCTTGGGCTCCTTTATCGAGTCCACGTTCACGCCGTATATGCAGCTCGCGATCACGTCGTTTGTGTATCTGGTGAGCAACGCCTTCATATCCATTTCTCTCTCATTCTCGGGCAGTTTGGATAAGTGTTGGGCGAATCTCTTTGCGCACATGGACATTTGTAGGAACATAATTTTTATCTTGCTCGAGGTGAAAGTGGGCGACAGCAAGGACCTGTGTTCCTTCCATTCCTCGCCGTCCATGATGAACAACATTTCACCGAGCATCGGGTCCACGCTCTTGTGAAATATGGTGCGATGATCGGGAAATTGGTCGAAATTCTTCATTGTGATGCTCTTGATCAGGTCCAGGTCGCGTATTATTATTATGGGGTTGAACATTTCGAACATCCCTACATACTTGGCGTCGGGATGGATATTATATATCCTTTGAATCGTGTCGCATATGTTCTCCTTTCCTCTGATCAACGGGCCCAAATTACCCACGATCGGGGACGGTGGGACGTGAAGTATACCGTGCTCTTGGAACAGATTGAAACTTTTCCTGACGAAGCAGCAATAATAGACGATAACCGTGATCGCGACGAGGAGCAGAGCCAACGATAGAAACTCCATGTCTCGATTCGACAAGCTGGGGACAAGGCCGTTCTATGTGGCCGTTTCTATATACGTGAGTTTACGTCGACACGATGCTCGCTACCGCGGAAGACTGAGGATGCGGCTCGGCGAATAACGATATTTAACTGTAAGCAGTGACGTCTCAATGCCACTCATCTCCCTTCTATGATAATCGTTATGATACGATACGCTTTTATTAATTGACATTGCCGCCGTCATTATGCCAGTGTCAATATTGTGAAAGACACTCTTTTGTTTTTCTCGTTAATCAATTGGTTAATGCTTTCACGATAATGGATTTTTCGAAAATATGCTTTCGGGAAACATATTTTAATTCTTAAACAGATCGATTAATTTGACACATCGGGTGGAGATTTTATTGTATATGATTTATCATAGTAATTTATCGTTATCTACGTTTGCGTACTGTAAACTAAATTAATTTAAAATGTATAGAAAGTTTATATTTAGAAATTTTGGTTTAATTCCACGGAAAAAAAAATAAATCTTGTTTTCATTAAATTAACGAGGATGAGTATTGAAAAAACGTATCAATCGAAGTTAAGTAGATAGAAGCAAAAGATAAATAGAATATTGTTGATCTCGTTACCTTATTTGTTACAATCTCAACGATATAGCATTAAAATTAGCACCATACATTATTATTTCCTTCACCATGAACAAAGGTAATAAGTTCGATAAGGAACAATGCAACATTATAATTTTCATAAATAATTATTATTCGACGAGAAACGATTTAACGGATTATCACTCGCGCAATTTCTTTCAGGATGTTGTTCAAAGTCATCCTTTCCGATTCGAGACGATTTCTGAATGCCTTAGGAAATATCTGGCAGGTTGACTCGATAAAAACTGCCCTTTTCCACATGTGTGGAAAATTCTCTAATGTAATTCAGTTTGCTACGGTGGAGACGAGAGCTCGAGGAGTGGAGGTTAGGGATCGAAGCAATGTCATAGAGATTGAACATTTTGTCAGAATTAATGAACTGGAGGATTCGAGAGGTGTATTGTGTTAGTAGCCGCGATTCGGTGGTTAAAAGGTAAAACAAATCATTTCTTCCTTTTCCTTTTTTTAATTTACAATTTGGTTTCACTTTTTATTATTATTTTTTTTTTTTCATTATTGTTATGGTATTAATTTTTGAATGCTATATGGAAATCCTTTGCTATCTTCATTTTATTGGTAAAGTTTTTTCTTTTGAACGTTTAATTACAGATTATGCGTACATAGACGCGAAGTAATTTATTTTGAAAATGGAATTAAAGATATAGATATTTGAAAGCGATGAATATTTTTTAAAAATCTTTTGCACAAAAATCTGGAAAAAATTTTGAAGATCTGTATCGAGAAGAGATTAGAAGATAATTAGCGATTTAAAGAACGAGAATCAATTTTGTTTTTTGTTTTATCGTTATATTTTTATTTGAGCATAGCTAATGAAAATATATAGCAGAGAGATTTTTCTCAATTGCAAATATTTATTCGCGAAATAAAAATTAACAATATTTGAGAAATATATTGGAGGATCATTTATTAACTCTTTGTGTTCCAACAGTGATTCTCAAGCACCATTGGGTGTAATAATTCCAGATGTGACTCTCCGGTATTACTTGGATTGATGCAGCAATTCGGACGACAATATTTATTTATGTCTGATTTTTTTAAAATATCGCTTCATGATAGATTCCTAAGCTCTTTAATCTTATAATGTGTAGACTAATATACTATTAAATGGTTAGATTTATCTGAAATAAGAGCAAATAAATCTCGGATCGAATTATTTTCGACGTTAGTCCGAGTTTGACATTCGTGGCGATAGAAATATTATTTTCAAAGATTCTGAATTTTGTAAGCGTGGAATTGTAATGAAATTAGTTCAAGTGGAGATGATGATTTGATTTTTCGTTATTAAATAAGGAAATGATTTCTATTCATTAAGAAATTGAAGATAGAGAGAAAGAAATAATGAAAATTGAGATGCTGTAAGAGAAGGTGAAAAATAAGAATAATAGACTGTGAATGTGAGAACAAGTTATTGGGATATTAATTTGTAAATAAATTTTTCGTTATTAAATAATGAAATTATTATTATAAATTATTTCTATTGATTAAGAAATTGATAATAAAGAGAAGGAAAATAGTGGTAAAGTTAGAGATGTAGTATAAGAAGATGAAAAATATGAATAATAGATAATAAATATTAGCATGTTATTGGAATTGTAAGGAATTGTAACGATATTTTATTGTGATATTTACCCTGACAAACCGAGGATGCTTTTTAATAATTACTTTATTATTAAAATATCACACAACAATATAGATTTTTAATAATCAATAATTTAATATTCCATAAATTATCTTTCTTTGTATGTAAAAGTAGATAAAATATTAAAATATAAAAGTTTAACAAAATTAAAAATTAATTTGTGTGTGAAATCATTTTAAGTTAGCTAAGAAATTCATTGAATGGGAAATCGTCTGGAGTTGTTGGTTCGCTCGAGCTAAAAAGGCCCGGAATGCAAAGGATTAATTTATTCATCCGAATAAAATATTTGTTGTATATTGTACATAGAAAAATGCGATGATAAAATATAATAATTTTTAAAAAGATCTACAAATTCTTGAGAATAATATAAGGTAAAATTCTTTTTGATTTTATTCATTTTTCACAATCTTTTTTTTCAATGTGTTCAAAAACTTTTCTTTAATTATTAACAACGATCGTATTTATTATTTTTTCTAATTTAAAAGTATAATTTCGTTTGAAGCTACTTAAATATGTACAAATAATAATATTTTTTTCTCGTTTGTTTGTTCTGTTACGTTAATCGTAATGAATAATGAAAAAATGAATCGTTGAAAAATCCATATGAATTACACAAGAGTTTTTTTTTCCTTTTTATTTCGTCCGTACAAAAATCAAGGAAACAACAACAAAAAAAAGAAAGCATAAAACATATTGAAATCTTCAATATTCATAATCAAACGTATGTCAATTCACCGAATCGAATCATCATTACGTTGGTAATATTAATATTATTAATTTAAAATTTAAAACTCTCGATTCGAACAATTGAAAATCATTCTGTTTCAAATCCCAGTCTTACACGCACCGTTAATAACATCGTTGTTAAAACCCAACCCATCAACCTGACTGATAAGAATATTTTCTAGGCTCGATCCTCAACCAAAAACCAGTTTTCGCGGTCGCGTCGAACACACCTTTCTCGTATTCCAACGGAATCACTGTCCTCGATCCGGCCTTTACGTCGCAAATGGCGAGAATATGGCAGACCAGAACCTTCATCTCAATCAAGGCGAATCTATTCCCTATGCATATCCTGGGCCCGATACCGAATGGAAGATACGCTCCCGAGCTCATAATGCTTTTTCCATTGTCCAAAAATCTCTCCGGTTTGAATTTCTCGGGCTCGTCGTAGTGCTTGGGATCGTGATGGATCGCCTTGACGGGTATCCACACGTTCATCCCCGGCTCGACGGTGAAAGGCACGTTATCCGGCAAAGCGGTGGCAGCTCGAAACTCTTGACGCACATTCTGTCTATGAAGTTAGCTACTGGCTCCAGCCTCAAAATTTCGTTGATCACCGCGTCCAGATACTTCATCTCTTGTATAACCTCGTACGACAATTGGCCCTTGTTACTCTCCAACGTCTCGTCGATCTCTTGCTGCAATCTCTTCTGGACCTCGGGATTCTCGACCAGCATGTGCAGAAGCACGCAAGCTTGCGCCGCGACCGTGTCGAAACCGCCGAAGTAATAGGTGAACGCGTGATTGGCCATGTTCGACACGGTTAAAATCTTGCTGGATTCCTTCTTCCTCAGATCCATCATAAATTGGATGAAATCGGGGTTGGTTGTTCCGTTGCGTTCCCGCTCCTCGATCGTTTTCACCACGAAATCGGTGAAAAATTTCTCTACGTGCCTCTCCAATACGTTAAGCCTGAGCAACTTCGCCAACCAAGGCATGTTCTTGTGCACTATTAGCTTCAAATTCTTCTTCAACCCTATCAGAGTGGCGCCCACTTTACCGTACATGTAGAACACGTTGCTAGGTTCCTCCATCGAGTCCACGTTCACGCCATAGACGTAGCTCGCGATCACGTCGTTTGTGTATCTGGTGAGCAACTCCTTCATCTCCATTTCCCTCTCATTCTCGGGCAGTTTGGTCAGGTGATGGACGAATCTCTTGGCGCACTCGGACATCCGCAGGAACATGATTTTTATCTTGCTCGAGGTGAAAGTGGGCGACAGCAGGGACCTGTGCTCCTTCCATTCATCCCCGTCCATGAAGAACAACATTTCGCCGAGCATCGGGTCCACGTTCTTGCAGAACATGGGGCGATGATCGGGAAATTGGTCGAAATTCTTCATTGTGATGCTCTTGATCAGGTCCAGGTCGCGTATTATTATTATGGGGTTGAACATTTCGAACATCCCTACGTACTTGGCGTCAGGATGGATATTGTATATCCTTTGAATCGTGTCGCATATGTTCTCCTTTCTTCTGATCAACGGGCCCAAATTACCCACGATCGGGGACGGTGGAATGTGAAGTATACCGTGCCTTTGGAACAGATTGAAACTTTTCCTGACGAAGCAGCAATAATAGACGGTGATCGCGATGAGGAGCAGAACTAATGATAGATACTCCATGTTTCGATTCGACAAGCTTGCTCTTTGTATATCGTCGACACGATGCTCGCTGTATTCGTTATTGCGGAAAATTGAGGATGCGGCTCGACGAATGGCGATATTTAACTGTAAGCAATAACGTCTCAATGCCATTCGTCTCCTTTCTATGATAACGTTATGATACTATACACTTTTATTAATTGACATTGCCGTGTTATTGTGCCAGTGTCTACGTTGTGAAAGACTGTTTCGTTTTTTTCGTTAATCCATTGGTTAATATTTTCCCGGTAATAGATTTTTGGAAAATATGCTTTCGGGAAACGTACCGGTGCTATTAATATATTTTTAGACTGAT